CTATTTATCATTCAATAACACCGATAATCACACGTTAATTGTAATGAAAACAAACCCTTTTGTGTTTGAATTGATCACCACTTGACTGATCCATGTGTTGGTCACGTGTTGTCCGCTATAATGACCATAAAATGCAAACAATAATTCATTCACTAATCAAATGACAATTGATTTCTAATTCACTGTATTGTGAACTGAATTGTGTGTTGAAGTCAATGAAACGGTTGTGAAGGCATTCAATGACAACAACGCTATTGAGTGGACTCCGAGTGACCGTTCATTCAATGATGCAATGCTTCATAACTTCATAAACCGGTCATTATTTGTTTGAATAATTTTTTATCTTACAATTAATCTAAATTTGATTAACAAATATGAGTTAGCACATATTTACAAACCCTGATTAGGCTTTCAAATAAATGAGCTAGTTTATAAAATTACTAACTTTATAATCAAATTAATAAATACCAATAATACTAATATTGTTAATAACTGTTAGTTTGTATTGGTTTTTATAAATGAGTTAATTTATTCAAAATCATTACATAGACGTAAATATATTAATTTTAAATAATACTGTATTGCACTTAAATATCACGTGTACTGTAGGTTATTATTTTAAACAAAAACAGGCGTTTGGCTGTTCAAATCAAATGAAAACAGTTTTGGCAGTCGTTCCACCGATTCCTTAATACCGGCGCTTATCTCGAGTTGAGCGCTGAATCTCAATGACAAAAGTCTCGGCAAATGAGTGTCGATGTCATCGAAAAACTTCTCGTTTACGACTAAATCTCCGAAATCTACCGCCAAATGCTGTAAACGTTTCAAAGCCGACAATGATTTCAGTGATAATTCATCACAACTTTTAAGACTATTATCTCGAGAACTGAATGATAGCCGCAGTTGTCTTAAGCCTTTCATACCATTCATGGACTCAAATAATTGTCTCAATTGTGGAATCGTTTGATACGATATCTGCAACTGATATCTCTTGAGTTGTGGCCATTGTTTGACAAACTCTTTGCAGTGATAGTCGACTACCGGTGCACTTTCAACGGGGACAGGCGGATGAATACGAAGTGTCAGTTCTCGCAATGCTTTCAATTCACAAAACAGTTTCATTACATCTATATATCTCTCAGATGTCATGGCATTCAAGCAGATATCCAATGTCTTTAAGCTGTTCCCATAGTGATCTACAAATGCCTTCAAGTGATTCGTGTGGTTATGATAGCCATAATAATTACACTCAAATCCAGTCAATCCCTTAACCAATAGCTCGTAATAATCATAGAAAATATCGCTTAACTCCATCCGAAAGCCTCCATAAGCGGACAGTTGTGTGAGTGTAGTGTAGGAGTTGTTGTATTGTTTGAACACATTTAGTACGGGTCTTGAGATCACTATTTCAGTCATTCGTGAACCGTATGTCCGCAACAGTCTGTCCGCTATTTTGGTATCTTTTGGCCAAAAGCGGACGTGAATTGTATTCAAGTCTTTGCATTCATTTGAATTCATGAGTACTTCAAACACCCGTTCCGTTGCTGACGATTTCACGGTTATCTCAATGCGTGTAATGTTTGGCAACTTCTTGAGCACCGATTCAAATGTCTGCCGATCCATGCGATTGACATCGAGGTAGTGGTCGGCACTCATCTCCGACAGCAATGCGTTGATCACAAGTTTATGTTGTTTCTGGTGAATACTTCTTCGCCACTGTTTGGACACACATTCAAATCGGAAACAGTCTCTGAATGACAGGTAAGACAACATCTCTCGATGTAAGTCATCACCGAATCTGTCGAATGAGTTCTTCGAGTATTCCTCTTGAGTGTCATTCTTATCATTGGATGCGATCTTTGCCTAAAAAACAGATAACAATTAACTTAATATAACTTACAATATGTTAAGCAGTATATCATTCAATAGTATATCAAATGTTGTGCTAATGTATGAAAACAAACCCTTTTTGCGGACATTTAGTGACCATTAAATCCAATCAATTGATTATAACGTGGTTTACAGTCAAAGACAATGCAATCAACAGTTGTGTAGACATTGGGTGACAACAACACTATTGAGTCGACTCTCACTACAGACTGTAATAAACACTGCATTTCATCACCGATTCATTCAAACATATAAACCGCGAAAAATATTTTGATTTTTATTTAGAAAACATGTGAATAATGAGACAAATGATTAATATTACAAAAAATACAAACAAATCAAAAGACAATAACTATTTAAGACACTATTCAATCGCATATACACTATATGTGCCTATCATTGGTCACCAGACATTGGAAGTGTTTTGGGGAATACTCTTGCGGGCAGTGGTAGCCATGTAACGTGGGGTGTAGTCATCAAACTTGAATGAAACCAATTTCGGCACCCTTTCCACCGACTCCTTAATACCGGCGCTCATCTTGAGCTGAGCGCTGAGTCTAAACGCCTGGAGTCGAGGGAAATATGTATCAGCGAAGAACCTCTCGTTTACGGATAAATCGCGGAAATCTATCCACAAGTGCTGTAATCGTTTCAAACCGGACAATGAGTTGAGCGACAAATCATCGATACTTTTATGGCTCCTTTGGTCGCGAGAACTGAATGATAGCCGCAGTCGTCGTAAGCCTCGCATACCGTTCACGGACTCAATCACTCGTCTAATGCCGGGAATCGTACGGAAACTCATTTCAAAGTAACATCTCTTGAGTTGTGGCCACTGTTTGGCGAACTCTTTGCAGAACTCGTCGATTCCATTGTCTTCGACGACAAACATATGGTGTCTTAATTCGCGCAATGCTTTCAATTGCGACAACTGTTTCATGACTTCAATATTTCTGACGGCGTCTATGAATTGAATGCTTATATCCAATACCTTTAAGCTGTGCTTATAGTGATCCACAAATACCTTCAAGAGTTTCAAATCGTTTTGCTGTCCGTTATAATTGCAGTTATATTCAGTCAACCATTTAACCAACAGCTCGTTGTTATCACTGAAGATATCTTTAAGGTATACGCGACTGAATCCGGATGTGTCCCCGTTATAGAGTTGTGTGAGTTTAGTGTATGAATTGGTGTACCGTTTAAACACATGTAGTTCCCTTCCTTGTATATCCATTCGTGTCATTCGTGAGCCGTATGTCCGCAACAGTCTGTCTGTCTGTGTCTCATCTCTGCTCCGAAAGCGGACGTGAATTGTCTTCAAGTGTTTGTATGACTTCATGAGTACTTCAAACACCCGTTCCGTTGCTTCCGATTTCACTGTTATCTCAATGCCTGTAATGTTTGGTAACTTCTGGATCACTGTTTCCAAAGTCTTGTCATTCATGTGCTTTACGTCGAGGTAGTGGTCCTTTAAGTGGCACCACAATCGCCATGAGTTGACCACAAGTTTATCTCTCTTCTGATGAATACTTCTTCGCCACTGTTTGGACAGACATTCATATCTGAAGCTCTCTTTCAGTGACAGATAAGACAACAACTCTTCGCATAAGTCATCACCAAATCTGTCAAATGAGTTCTTCGGGTATTCCTCTTGAGTGCCATTCTTATCATTGGATGACATCTTTACCTTCAAACAGATAGATAACGTATAACTGATTGAATCAAATCATGTAATCTGTGGTAATGTTTGAATACAAACCCGTTTTGCATCCGATCGGAGTCGATATGTGTTAGCCATGTGTTGGACACATGTTATCAAATCAATTGAAATAAAATGAATGAATCACTCAATGAAACAGTGAATAAAACAATTGGGTGGCGTACACAAAGTACGTACGCAAAATTTTGGTCAAAAATTGACCCCCCTCCCCTCTACACGCCCATCGTACATAGGAATTTAACATGGTGACATACGCTTTGGCATGACCCCCCCCTCCCCCCTACCAGTGCGTATGTACTTTGTGCACGCCGCCTA